AAACAGTCCTTGAAGAGTACTCTAGTGCTAGCTGTTACCATTATTATAGCAATTAAATGCTGTGACAATTTTTGGTCACTACTTGCATTTTTTATATTGTTTTTGAAAATGTTTCTAATGGCTAACATTCCATAAACTCTTCTGCAGACACACAAGATAGGAGAGAAAGAAATGTGTGCGTGTGCTCAAAAAAATATCATTTGGATATCTGTTTTATTTTGACTTTCAGTCAGGCGTTTTAACTCTTTTGGATAAAAGTGTATTTTACACACTCTTGTCAATATTACTTATTCTAACTGCAGTCTTTTCAAAGAGCATTAATGTACCGACTCTTACAACCTTTTGGTTCACATATTCATTTAACAGTGAGAAGTAGAAAGCTTTATATAAGCAATACTCATTCTCTTAATTATTAGGAATAAAACCTTTCAAAAAGCCCCACAGACAAAGTACTTCCAGTTCAACACGGTAACATTCCTATATAATAAAGATGATATATGCAAATGGTTATTATGCCATGAAGTGTAACAACCGACTGCGTAACGACCAGATCACGGATCAATAGGAGGATGGAGCAGCGAGCTACAAGCAGGCGGTTTAGAACCAAAGGAGGGGGCAGGACAGCAAGCTATTGGGGGGGGGGGGGGGCAACCTACAGGAGGGTGAGGCAGTGGGCGGAGAGCTACTGGAAAGCTACTGTCCCATGGATTCGTGCACAGGGCTACTAGTTGATCTATTAACTGCTGTGCAGTTTACAAATCATGTAGTACTTGGATTGGAAATCCCAAACCCATTCTCTGCAACCCCCCCACCCTTTACTTCTCCATAACTCTTTAGGAGAAAAAGCTAAGGAATTCTGGTTCCTGAGGATACAAAAAGATCAACATATGTAATCCCATACTGCTTCTTCTCGCATCTTTCTTCTCGTAGGTAGGTCACAGCTAAAGAAAGTTGCAAGGTGTAAATGGATCAAGCTGTCTAATCTCTCCTGAGTCTTCACTACTACTTGGCAATCACTCTGATGTCTAATGTATCCACCCTGACAGTACTGACAGCTTCAACAAACCTTCCTTCCTTTCTTCTTTATTTTAATTTTATTTTATTGTTTAAAGTATTACACATAGTAGTACATATATCTCCATTTTAAACCTTCCTTACTTTCCCCATCCCTATATTCCCCACCTACAATCCAGATACACATCTCTTCATTCTAGCAGTTTTCAACCTCGGTGAGGTAGCAAAAGCCACTGAGAAAGCTTCTGAAAATGGCAAACACTGCTCCTGCTGCTGCCTCCCTCTTACCTCAAAATTCTCAATACCTGTTTAAAAGAACAAGCCAGAAACTCAGGGAGAGATTTATGTATTTGAAAAGGTGACTTCCTTGTGGGTACAGACCTAATCTTACTCATTTCTGTACCTAGCACTTAACCAAGGAGGCTCTCAGCAAATGAATACACGAACCAATGAAATCACTTATTGAAGTGACCAATCTCGTGATGTCTCCAGTGTCTCTTGTCAGTTTACAGCCTGCAGCATTTTCACCATACTGAGGCAATATGTTACTGTGGGTGAAAGCACAGACTCTGAAGACAAGTTGTGGGTTGGAATGTGAACTACGCTGCAAAGCAGGAGCTCTGTAACTTTGGACAGAAGTTCCTGAACCTCTCTGTGCTCCGACTTTCTCATCTGTAAGATAGGAATAAGAGTACCTACCACAGAGGATATTGTGAAAATAAAATGTTAGTATGTAAAGAGCTTAGAATGGAGCAAACACTATATAAATGTGAGCTAACATTTCTCTCTGAAGCCCAATGCTTAAATTTGAGTTCTGTTTCTGATATGTAATAAGTGTTCATGATCACAGGCAAATTACTTGATCTCACTGTGCCTGTTACCCTATCTACAAAATGGGGATAATGATAGTATCTATTTCACTGGGTGTCATGAGAAATAAAAGAGAAAATATGCAACACATGTAGCAGAATGTCTTGTACATAAAGTGCTCAATAAGTGGTAGCTATTATCATCTCAGTCTCACAAGCATTCTGGCTGCTGAAGTCGATTTGTTGTAACCTGACTCTGGTGTGTGTGGAGGCCCAATACATAAGTTCCATCAGATAAGATCCTGACCAGCTCCAACTCTTTCCACAGACAAGGAGTTCTTAATCTAATGTTCATAGTGAGCTTTAAAATTTTTTTATTCATAATCAGGTATAAAAGAATGGTGTATATTTTTCTGAGACAAAGGGCCATAGCTTTCATTAGCTCCTCAATAAATACATAACCCCAAAGAGATTTTTAAAAACAAAATAAAACCTATTGACAATAACATGACCAGTACTATTTTCATTTTTTTCTTCTCTAAAAACAATTTCTACACTTTCCCCTAAGTCTCTAAATCAAAGTCACAGTATTTAAAAAAGTCTCATTTACAATATTGCCAGATTATTTCTCCGAAAGAACTGTAATATTACTTTCTCTATTCAAAAGCCTAAGTATTGTCCAATATCCAATATCTTAGCTGAACATTCAAAACTTTATAACTTGGCCACAGTCTGCCTATCCAGCCTTGTCCCAAAAGGAGTCACTTGCCGTTGTGTAACTCCACGTGGTTTTCCTCCATATCTCACTCTACTCTGTCTAGAATGTCTTCAATAGCACTTTCTCCAGTAAACCAAAGCTCTTCTTTAACAGTTACTGTCTTTAATAACAAATATATTTCCTTCCCCCTGCTAAACAGTAATTCTTTGAGGACAGGGACTATACGGCCTTCTTTACTTTATATTCTCAATTTCACTTAGTCTCATGGTTTATAAATTTATATAAATATTAGTTCTCTGGTAATCTTTTTAAAGTTAGTAAACAGAACTTTTCAAGAATTTCTAGGTATTCATAAAATTTGAAATACCAAATTTCAATCTGTTAACTAAAGCTTTTATAAAAGGCAAAAACTGCTATGTCATAATATTCCTATAATTTTCAACACACTGTAAATTATAATTGTGCCCTAAAGGAGATGATTATCCTACCGAATAAAAAAGTAATATGCAAATTAATCATCACTCCACTCTAGCCACATCCACTAGCCACACCAACCAGCCAATCAGAGCAAGTATGCAAATTAATCCCAACCAAGATGGCTGCAGCCACAGAGAGCAGTTGAGAGTCTTGGGTTTCCCCAGCAACAGAAGCCAAGCTTTCCGTCCGCCCTAGCTGGCCTAAGCCTCCACTCAAGGCTACAAAGTTTCAATTATAGAAGATAAATCCCAAGAAAAATGGCTGCAGCCATGGAGCTGGAAAGAGCAGGCTAAGGTTGCCCTGGTAACGAGGAAGCAAAGCTTTCCACGTGCCCTAGCTGGCCTAAGCCTATATTCAAGACTACAAAATTTTCAATTATAGAAGATACATAAAACCAAACAGAAATGGCTCCGCTCCAGGCTACAAAGTTTCAATTGTAGAAAGTAAATAAATTCCAGATACCAGAGCTTCCACTTGGGTCACCAGTGGGCGTGGCTGGCCTGCAAACCACCACAGGCCCTTCACCCAGGCCGCCCCATGCCCCAAGGGAACCCCCACCCTGATCTGGGATACCCTTCAGGGCAAACCAGCTGCCCCCCGCCCCCCATGCACCAGGCCTCTATCCTATCTAATAAAAGAATAATAAGCAGATTGACCATCACTCCAACACACAAGATGGCTGTCCCCATGTGGTCAAAGATCCTGCCTCCATGTGAACACAACATGACCACCACAAGATGGCCAGCAGAGAAGGGCAGTTGGGAGACACCAGGCCTGCAAGGGAGGGCAGTTGGAAGTGATCAACCCTGCAGGGGAGGGCAGTTAGGGGTGGCCAGACCAGCAGAGGATGGAAGTTGGGGGCAAACAGGCTAGCAGCGGAGCAGTTAGGTATCAATCAGGCTGACATGGGAGTGGTTAGGGGGCAATCAGGAAGGCAGGCAGGCGAGCCAGCAGTCCTGGATTGCGAGAAGGATGTCCAACTGCCCATTTAGCAGTTTAACATCCTTTGAGGGGTCACAGTTTGGAGAGGGTGCAGGCTGGGCTGAGGGACACCCCCCGACTCCATGTGCACATTTTGTGCACCAGGCCTCTAGTAACATTATAAAGATTAAGTAGACAGCCCTAGCTGGTTTGGCTCAGTGGATAGAGCATTGGCCTGCGAACTGAAGGGTCCCGGTTCAATTCCAATCAAGGGCACATGAGGGTAAGGAGTGTGTAGGAGGCTGCCAATCAATGATTATCTCTCATTATTAATGTTTCTATCTCTCTTTCCCTCTCTCTTCCTCTCTGAAATCATTAATAAATATATATATTTTAAAATAAAATCAATAAAGATTAAATAGACAATGGATTCCCAAATTACATATATGATAATTGTATCCTATCACTAAGGACTTACAGAAGAGTAACAGAAATCACCCCCTCCCTTCAAATAACTATGTTCTATGAACCCCACAATGTTGTTATCTCTGTCAATTGCTTAGAAAATTCAAGGCCCAGTAAGTGACAAAAGTAAGTTTTCAATCGAGGTTCCTAAATCAGGGGCAGGTTCCCTACACTGGTGGTTCTCAACACTTGCTGCAGTTTAGAATCCTCTGCAGAGTTAAAAAGAACAGATTCCTGACCCTCCATCCAGAACAATTAAATCAGACTTAAGAAATGCTGCTGAAGATTAAAATTTGTTTTAAAAATTCACAGTGGATACTAATTTTCAGCTAGGGCTTGCCTAGATTGGTTAATAATCTTTTATATCTTAATAATTATCATAAAAGGCAATCTTTTAAGATCAACTTAAGCTATACAGAATGGATGAAACTTATCCTCTAATTTACTGACTTGGGACTGATTATATGCCAATAATTAATCTTGAATTTACAAAGCTGCTATCTTTTTTCTTGGGATAAAGCATTATCAAGAAACTCATGATACGGTAGTATTCTTGGGCTGCTTTCTCTACAATTTTACAAGATCTGAGCACTTACACTCCTCTTTACTTGGTGAAGTTACATTCAGTTCTGTCGGAAGCGGCTGCTGGCTGGGACTAAGAGTTGGCGTGGTTATAGAGGTATTGTTGTTGTCACTGGTGGTCTCTTCGGAAAACAAATCTGATTGGCTGTTACTTGTACTTGGAGCGGAATCATCGTCTGGTTGTTTCTTTTGAAAATCTGAAGAGAAAAAGAAAACCAGCTTAATGAAGGCATTCATAATCTCCTTGGGTATCAGAAAAAAAAAAAAAAGTTAGCAGAAGGATGAAATGTAATAGCAGCAATAAGACTAATTTGGATGATTAAAAAAATTGAGGTGCCTTAGCCGATATGGCTCATGTAAACTGGTAGGAGTGTTATCTCATACACCAAGTGGTGGAGTATTTGATTCCTGGTCAGAGCACTTAGTTGCAGGTTTGATCCCCAGTGGGGATGGTACATGTGAAAGACAATCACTGTTTCTCTCTTTCTCTTGCTACCCCCACTTTCTGTCACCCTCTGCCCCTTCCTCTCTCTAAAGTCAAATTAAAAAATGGAAGTAAAATACTGGTCAAAAACATATCAAATTGGTAGAGGATAACTACAATGAAAGCTTCCAAAGTCCTCACATTGTTTAGAAGAATGGTAGAATGCTGATTTTAATGTAAGACTTTGAAAAGCAAAATGCATGTTAAAATTTTAGGGATGATCAGTAGAATAAAAAAGAAATGCAGAAAAGTTGCTCAAACAGAAGACAGATAAAAAGAGAGAAAAAACTGCAGAAAACAAAGGGTAAATAGAAAACAGAATAGTAGAAATGAGTACAGATATACTAGTAGTGGTAATAAATGCAGGCAGACTAAACTTAGCAGTTAAAAGAAAGTGGGTTCAGACTGGATAAACAAAGTATTGTTCTTTGTATGTTACAAGAGACATACTTAAAACATAAATATGAGGATATAGAAAATTTAAGTCTATAAAAATATGCCCACAAATACACAATTACTAGTAAAAAGCCAGTAATAGCTCAAGTATTGTCAGAAAACAGACTTTAAGTCAAAAGCATTATTAGAGATAAAGAGGATCATTATATAACAGTAACAAAAAAAATTTTTTTTACCAGGAAAATAAAGCAATTCTGAACCTGTATGTACCTAATAACAAAGCCTCAAAAGCAAAAATGATGGTATTTACAGAAAACAGACAAATTTACTAACATAATAGAGAAAATTTTAATATATGTCTCAGATAAAATAACTAGTAAAATTCATTAAAATTAATAAGCATATACAAGTAGGGATAAAGTAGGTTTACAGTTGTTTATATGAAAAATGTATTAATAATACAAGAATCAACTGTTTTGCATACAACTGTATACCTACTTTTGCCTGTATAGACCGCCTTTCTGCCTTCACTTGCTCTGGAATGGAGCCGTCTTTCCTCCTTACCACACTGCCCAGAGGCCAGAGCAGCTGGGATGGTGAGGAATGCCTGCATATCCCTCCGCCCCCCCCCCCCCCCCCCGCTGCCACTCAGCGCCTGTGTATGCAAATTAACCTACCAGATTTGTTGTTAATTTGCATGCTCACTCCTGATTGGCAGGTGGGTGTCACGAAGGTACAGTCAATTTGCATCTTTCTCTTTTATTAGTGTAGATAATAATATTTATATAATAGATTTATATATGTAAATACCATATTTATGAATACATAATTATAATATAAAAACATGCATGGAAATGACACACAAAATTCAAGATAGTGTTTATTGGGGGAGAAAAAAATAAGAGTTTTCAAATCTACCTATACTTTTTTTTTTCTTTCTTAAAGCTGATGATAGGCTAAAATTATTATGTATGTTATGTATATGTTTCATTTTAAAAATCTACCTGGGAGGTGGATGTGAGGTGAAGGGGGTCTTGGGAAACAAGGGGACATCTGTAATATTTTCAATAATAAAGATAAATTTTAAAAAATATAATGCTAGATTATGAAGTGCAGATTATAGTTTACTATGTCAATTCAGAGAAGGATAGAAGATCTGGCAACTCCAGGCCTTGCCTTATCATTTGAACCACAGAGAAGCTGCTACTATATGCTGTATAACCCTATCAGAACTACTGTTTGAGATATTCTGAGTATCAGAATTGCTAGTTTATGTTACCATGAGGCCAGGCACTAAGTGACGTGTTCTAGTATATAATCCATTTCCTTTAATCCTAGAGACAAGACTAACAAGAGAGGTATAATTAACACCACTTTACTGATGAAGAAACTGAGGCTCAGAAAATGTAGGTCTTTTGTTTCAAGTTATCAGTTAGAAAATAGTAGGATCAAGATTTAAATGCAGCTCCATATGACACCAAAACTTATGGTCTTCAATCACAGGATGTAAGAATGGTGAACACTAGACTGGCCAGGAAAATGCCTCCACATCAAGACTCTACCCAGTTATAGCAGCAAAGATGAGTGCAATGGAAGAATCACTATCCTGATGTGCCAGTCACTGTTCTAGTCTTTACTGCTTCTTTTCTATGTATTTATTTCTCTAAGCCATTCTTATTCTTTAAGTGTTTTGACATTTTTAAATGGCTTATTATCTCAATGTTATTTGTACAACACCTTTGGAGGAAAAGACACTATAAATGGAGTAAAAATACTGAGATAATGATGCTTCTTTTTTATATCATGTCATCTCATTAGTTCTGCTATGCCAATAATCATTGTGTCTCTCCTATAACTACCTCTCTACTATTTAATTGGAAATGCTATAAGGCCCTAAAAGAACTGAAACTAAATAATCATTGTACCATCTAGCACAATCCCCAGCCCTCTTTGAAGCTAAAGGATGTTTTTGTTTAAGACACTGTTACCAGGTCCCACCCACATAATCTCCACCCAATCCAGGCCACACTTGCCATGCTCCTCAATGTTCAGGTACTTTTCTTTTGTAAATATGCAGTTGATACAATATACTTCTATTTTCTGTTGTTGTTATTGTTACTATCCACTGATTTTTAGAGAGTGGGAGGGAGTCAGGGAGGAAGAAAAAAGAGAGAGTAAAGGAGAGCGAGAGAGAGATTGATGTGAGAAAGACACATCAATTGGCTGCCTCCTACACATTCCCCAACTGGGGGCGGGGATCAAACCTGCAACCTGGGTATGTGCCCCTGACTAGGAATGGAAGCCAGGACCCTTTGGTGCATGGGCTGATGCTCTAACACTGAGCACAATGACCACTAATATGGCTTCTATATCATTATTATAGGCACTAAAGTTAGGTATAAAGAAAATCAAATTGGAAGTGGTATATGAACTAAGACTTAAGTTCCTACAATGAGTACAATGAGCAAGGCATTCTGCCAGAGGTCTTGTATTCATTTTCTACTTAATTCTCAAAATAAGCTGGGCAGTAGATGTCATCTCTACATTTCAGCAGACAGTGGAGGATGGCAAGTTTGGAGAAACCAGGTTTATGCGACTATAATGTCCACACTCTTCCCACTGTGGCATGCAGCACTGAAGCAACCACTGCCCAGCTTGCCAAAACACATGGCTGAAAGTTTACAGGGGTTACTTTTCTACTTACCACAGTCCCACTTTCCAAACCCCACCCAAATTTATTTCCCAGATTATAATTCATGCTGTCTCTGAAGCATTAATTTGGAGTTTGACACCATAAAATGCTGCATGTTTCAACTACCAAATTAAAGTAAAACGGAAATGTCACAAATAAAAAATCAATTCTGATATCTGCAGAGTTTGGGTCTTGTAAGGCACTGTATTAAGGCTTCTTTTAACAGAATAGGGTTTTTTCTCCTCTTGCTCATCCTTTCTCCCAATTATGTCCATAACAGGTTTATAGTTGGATGTTAACCTGAGTTAATAGCCTCAGCAAAAACAAACTGGTTTAAATAAGAATTAACAAGAACCAAAGGAATTGTTACTATTAGGACTAAAATGAAATGGCCTTAGATGCTAGTTTATGGGGGAAATTGTTTCTACTCAATCTGACTGGGTTCATTTAAAATATCCTTTTGTAACCAATCTTCCAGCTTAAAAAAAAAAACAAAAAAACAGACTACTGTTCTGACGAGAGTCATGCCAGGGTATGTAGACCTGTAGACCCGTCCCAGCATGTCCAATCAAATGCCCCTGCACAACTGGCCCCACCACTTTAACATGGTGCAACTGGCCCTGCCACTGTGACCCAAAGCTCCCAGACAGACAGACCTACCATTCAGACCCTTTGAACTGTATCTGGTGGCCCCGGCAGATCGGCCCTGCCAACTTGTGACTGGCCCCGTAACTGTGACCTGACACCCCCAGATACACAAACCTGCCTCCGTGACCAGGCACAACCTGACCCAACACCACCAGAAAATCGAACTTACTGCTGCAAGTCAGCTCACCTCACCAGTGTCCCAGACTACCATGCAAGTAGAAATGAAGGGGAAAAAGCTGAGATAGCAATACTTTTATATGATATACTAGGCTTTAAAATGAAAGCCATAACAAGAGACAATGAGGGCCACTTCATAATACTAAAAAGATCAATATAACAAGAGGATATAACCCTGATAAACATATGCACCCAATATAGGAGCAACCAAACATATAAAAAAAACTTCCAGAGGACTTAGAGAGATCAACAGCAATACAATCATCACCCTACTGACAGACCTTCTAGACAAAAAACCAACAAGGGAACAGCGAGCGACCCTAAACCACACACTAGATTAAATGCATTTAATTGATAAATATTTCATCCCGAAACTATAAGTGTACATTCTTATCAAGTACACATGGGACATTCTCAATTCCCACACTATATATTGGGACATGAACTAAGTATCTACAAATTCAAGAGGATTGAAATCAACGCAAGCATCTTCCTGGATCACAATCATATGAAACTATAAACCAACTACAATAAAAAACACCCCAAATCATTCAAACACATGGAGAAGGGTTAAAGAACATATTATTAAACAATGAATGGGTTGTCAATGAAAACAAGAAAAAAATTAAAAAAAAAAAAAGTCATGAAAATGAACATACAAGAACCCAAAAGCTATGGGACACAGCAAAAGCAGCCCTGAGAGGGAAATTCAAAGCACTACAGGCCTACCTCAAGGGAAAAAAAAAAAAGAAAAAAAAATTCTAATAAAGGATCTAACCCCACGACTTAAAGAATTAGAA